AGACGTACACCGTGGGCGCCGAGTTCTCGGACGTTCTCGTGCTGCCGTTCGCCCAGTTCGTCCCGCCGGGGATCGCGGCCGCGGACATTACGGTTTCCGCGCGTCGCCGCCCCAGGCCGTCGTCGACGCGTGCGCCGCTCCCGCTGGCGTTCCGCTTCGACCAGCTTCCGGGCGCCGCCAGGGCTGGAGCCGCCGCGGGCGCTGCAGGTGGAGCTGGCCTTGGGGCCGGCGCCGCGCCCCTCGCTGCGGGTGGCGGGCCGCTGGTGGCGCCAGGCGTTCCTGCCCCCGCTGCGATGGGTGGCACCCTGGTCGCGCCAGGCGGGGCTCCCGCGCCGGCGGCGTTGGCTGCGGGCCCCGCGCTCGGCATCCCCCCGGCGCTGGTCGGGGTTGCTGGAGCGGCGGCGCCCGCTGCGAGAGGCGTGCTGGTGCCACCCGCGGGATTGAGCTAGCATGATGCGTTGGAGGATCGCGCTGGTTACGCCGTCGGCGATTTCGTCTGCCGCCAGCTCCCCGCGGGCTCGATGCCGATGGCAGATCGGGCGATCGCGCATGCCGGAGGCACCTCCGCGCGCGTAGCCCAGCTCTCGAAGGCCGATGCGGCGGCGCTCCTCCGCGGCGACGCGCGGACCCTGGCCGTGAGGTTGGACCCCCAGGGCGAGCGCCGCAGGACGTGGGGCGATGCTGTGGCCTCCTCGTCGGAGGACATCATCCTAGGCGGCTGGGATGTGCAAGGGCCTCGGACAGTCTTGTGGTAAATGAACTATGCGCGTGACATCGGCAATAGTGCGTTCCACGCGCGCGAGAACTGGATCAGACTGTCAAAGGCGCCAGCAGGTGACAGGAAGGAGCGTCTACGAGCATGAAGTGCCCGGCCGCATTATGGACGCAGCGGCGTTGCAATATCAGATGAATGCCCCATCGCTGTTGTGTTTCGAGTTCTTGGCTCGGCGGATGGCGTTGATCAGAGAGGCCCACCGTGCCTCGCCCAGCCAGCCCGACTACAGCGCGGCAGACCCATTCACGGGCTGGAGTCGCCGGGCGGGCGGAGCCGCCATCGCCCCGAGCCTCGGCCCGCGTGGCTGACAAGCGGAACAGGAGTCCGCGATCGCCAAGGAGGCCCGCAAGGCGCGGGAGGAGACAATCGCGAGGGTCAGGGGCAGGGCGAAGGGCGGCATGGATGGCGCGGCGGCGGCCCGCACCGCAGGGGCTTCATGCGCCACCTGGGCCCGCCTGCCCCCTCGGCTCGCCGCCCCCGCCACCCCGCGCCCGCCTCGGACGCGGGGGGGCGCCGGGCGCCTTGCATCTTTCTCGCGCGGCACGCCGGCGGCGCGGCCCAGGCAGAGGTTCAGCGCGCAGTTTTGCGGCGCGCCCAAGCCGCTGGAATGTTTTTTTGGCCTCGTCAGCGAGAAGCCGCCCGCGAGCTTCTCGGCTCCGACCTCGTCTACCACAGTGGCGAGGTTTCAAGTGCCGTGGTCAGGCGCGATGCCTTTCTGATTGCGGTGCCAGAAGAGTTGGAGCAGCCCCCCGCCGCCCTTTATGTCCTCGACCCGGAAGGTGCTCTGCGCCTTCGAGAATTCAAGCGGCGCGCGATGCTGACCGAGGATGAATTTGGCGAGCGTCGCGAGTGCGAGCAGCCAGTAGTGCCCTACATGGACATGACGTTGGCCCGCGACAGGGGCCTTCACGCTGACTTCGCGGCGCGACGGGCCAATGCGCTTCGGTGCACCATCAACGCTCGGGACCTCATCGCGCCTTCCTTCTTCCGCGAGAAGCCGGACATGGCGAGGATCGCCTGGGACTGCAGATCGGTCAACACACGCCCCACGAATCGCCCGAAGCTCAACGTGTCGTCGGGGAGCAAGTTCGCGGACCTGGAGTTCGACTCGCACGACGAGGTCGTCACCGCGCAGGCGGACCTGCAAGCCCCTGGCGGAGCTCGCCGCGCTGCCCGACGGCCCCGCGGCGTCGCCGTGCCTGGCCGTGGCCCCCACGAGCTGGAGCTGGGCCACGCGGGTCGCGCTGCGCGCCGCCGTCCACCAGGCCACCTGCAGCAAGGCGTCGCCCGCGGAGCGCATCGCGACGGGCGAGCGGCCCGCCCCAGACAGGGCAAACGGCAATCCCGCTCGGATGGCGCACGCTGACCATTTTAACGCCACGGGCTCCGACGCGTTGAGGGCCGGCGCAGCCAGGGATGTGCTGGTCGAGCATTTCCGCGAGATCGGATTCGCGGTCCACGAGGTCGAGGGCCCGTCGGTCGACGCCGTCGCCCTGGGCCACAAGATCACGGGCCGCGAGAGAGTCATCTCGCCGACGGACCGCAAGCTGGAGCTGCTGAGGGCCGCAGGCCTTCGGCTTCCCCAGCGCCCCCGCGCTGGCGGCAAAGGGCATGGGCGGCCCGTCGGGCACTGCGCTCGCATTTGTCTGTTGCGCGGGCAAATGTTTGCCATGTTCCAGCGCGTCTATGCCTCCATAGCGGCTCGCGCCGACTCCCGAGGCCGCGTCTGGGGGCCCGTCTGCCGCGAGATCAAATGGTTTATGGCGCAGCTGCTGTCTTGCAGGGCGCGGCTCGATAGAGCGCGGAGTTCAAGGGTTACGTCTTCGGATGCTGGCCCCAGTGGATGCGCGGTGCACCCTCGAGCCCAGACCTCGGAGATCGCCCGACGGCTGAGGGGCGCGAAGGAGAGGTCTAGGTGCAAGGCTGGCACCCCCGCTATCAGCCACTCACTCAACGGCGCGAGCGTCTTCAGCGACGTAGACACCTCCAAGCCCTCGGGCCCTCCAAGTACTCGAGAGGTCCTGGGCGAGAGCCCGATCTTCAACGAGGTCGCCCGGGAGCCCCAGGACACCGAGGATTTGCAGCTGATTTTCGCAGCTCTTTCCTCAAAGCCGAGAACATCATGGCACTTGCTCGCACTCCCCATCGCGGTCGATGTTCAGGTCCGCCGCCGCTGGCATCCATCGGGGCTGAGCGCAGCGGATGACAGCTCGCGACTCTGGGGGGGTGAAGGCGCGATCCTCGGTGACCCAGAAGCGCCCTGCTTCGCCCAAGGCCCCGCAAGGCCAATCAGGTCGATTCCCTCGTCGGCGACGCTGTTGCGCGACATCAGGGAGGTCGCGCTCCTCTTTGGCTTGGGGGTCGCCAACGATCTGGCGCCGGCCGCGGCGAAGCCCGCCTCGTGGCCCCGCTACTTCGGCGCCCCCAGGCGGCCCCATGCCCTCTGCCTCCTCCGCCGGAGCTCGGCCCTTGCGCCCTTGGAAAAGGCCGGCATCGCCGCGCAGGATCTGGCGCAGAGGGACGCACGCCGAGGGCGACGACCGCTCCGCGGGGCGGGTGCTGCACGCGGCCCGGCAGGCGACCTGCCCGTCGGCGGGCAGAGGGGGGGCCCCCTACCGCGCGCGCGCCGCGGGCAGCAGGCCCGGGCGCGGCTGCGCCCTGCTGCCAGAGGCCGCCCACGCCGTGGATCGACGCGGCGCTGGTGGCACAGGTGATGGCGGACTGAGGCGAGCCGTTGGCGGTGCTCTGCTCCGCGTGGTACCTCGGGCCCTCGGAGGGCTTGAACCCGCGGGTCGCCGACGCGGTGGCGCCCTCGTTCCACGCCTCCACCTTCGCGGCAATCAACCTGCGTTCCGAGGAGGGAGGCCAGCCATTAAAGACGATGGCCACGAACGAGAGCCTGATGATCAACCACCCGAGGGGGGCATCATTGGCCCGGCGGTGCCGCTGGCGGCGAGGCGCGCGGCGGGCCAGCGGACTCCCCGTTTCGCGATGCCGCGGTTCAACGCGCTCTCCCAGGCCGCGCAGCTGGAGGCGGAGCTCGAGCGCGCCCAAGTCCCGCGCCAGCTCAGGCACGGCGGCGCGTCCGCGAGGACAGGAGGGGCAACTTCAGGGCGCCCCTCGAGGTGACGCAGAGAGGCCGCCGGAGCGCCGACGCCTCGACGCGGCGCTACGGGGCGGACGCCCGCCTGCAGCGCGAGGAGGCGCGCGCGCCGCCCGCCCTCCGCGATTAGGCGATCGCGGCGGCCGCCAGGGATCCCCCGCAGACGGGGGCGCTGCGTCGAAGTCTTCGCTGGCTGCAGGCACTTCTCGCTCGAGATGGCCCGGGCGGCCGCGCTGTCTACGCATTCAACATCGCACATTCGCCTGATCGAGACATCCGTAGGCCCGACGCCTGGCAGTCTCTTCTCTCCCTCGCCTGAGCTCCGTCCTGTCGCTTCGTCTAGCTCGGGGCCCCCTGCGCCTCCTGGTCCAGAGCCCGGCGAGGGGGGGTTGGTCCCGCCCCCCTCCTGGGCTCGGGGCTCAGGTTGATTGGTGCCCTGGGCGTCTGAAAGAACGATTGCGATAAGGTCCGCATCGGCAATGCCCTCACGCGCGCCTTTGCGGCCCATGCTCGCGCGCGCATCGAGTCTGGAGTTCGATTTGTCATCGAGAATCCCATGACCTCGAGAATTTGGCGGGCCGGGCAGTTTCATTCACTCAGGCGACGCGGGGCTGAGACCTTCATTGCCAGCTCCTGTCAATACGGAACCCCATGGCGGAATAACACCTCATTGCTCGCTTTGGGCTGCCCCAAATGTGTGTCGATTCGCCGTTGCATGCAGAGGGGCCGACGCTCGGCCAACGGTCAGAAGCGTGAGCAACTTGTCGGAAAGACGGCGACTGGCAAATTCAAAACATTAGCTTCCCAGCCATATTCACAATTGTTCGTTGAGCATATATGTGCTATGGTACGTGAATTCCGCGTGGTCCTGGAGCGAGGAGTTGCTTGCTCTTGAGAGTGTATATGCGTTGCATCCGTTGTGTGATGTTGAGCAGCACGGCGCCCCTAAATCATTTATGTTGCACGGCGCCCCTAAAACATCCTTGTCGTGGTGTGCTGCTCCGCTTTGTGCACGTTGACATGCGGCTCGAACTGATTTCCAGGCGCCTTGAGTCCGGCTGAGAATGCATCCATCCCTGCTTCCATGCAGTGGGTTGGTTGTTAAGGGGGATTGTTTGTGCTGCGACAGTCTCAGAAAAGCCTTACCGGCTTCACTCTGGTAGCGGAGCGTTGGAGTGGCTCTCCGGTGCTCGATCCACGACAGCCGACCCTAGCCAGGTCTACGATGGCGACGCAGACGTTCTTCTCCCCGGAGTTGACCCCAAAGTCCGGGCCATGACGGGCACGACCTTGGTTGATTTCAAGCGGTACTGGCAGCTCGTCACAGCTTTCTTCCTCGAGCAGACGAGCGACGGGCAGAGGTCCTCCGTCGGCCCCGCCCTCTACCGGAACATGCTGGCACGTGGAAGCGAGCTGTCTCTGCTCGTCGAGACCTCGGATGCGAAGACCCTGGTTAAGGCTGACGGCCATGAGACCTTCCTGACATTCTTAGAGAAGAGACGCTTCTCAGACAGCCAGCTGAAGGAGGTTCCCCGTGTCTACGACAAGTTCTACGACGCGGTGCGGTTCAGGCGCAACGACGGCGATGAACCGATGGGCACCTACCTGACCAATATGATCGCGGCCAAAAGTGGGCTCGAGAAGGCAGATAGCCAGGCGAAGCTTTCGGATCACGAGCTCGGCTACTGGATGCTCAAGAAGATTGGACTGGACCACGAAGGACGGCGATGCGTGCTGGGGCAGTGTGGCCAGGCGATTGACCCAGTCCAGATCTCAGAAATGCCGCGGAATCTGCGCCCCCACGGATCCCCCTCCCGCGGCGGCGGCGGCGGTGACCGCCAACGGCGCGGACGGTGGGCCCACTCGGCCAATGGCGGGGCCGAGGGCCTGGAGCTGCCGACCGACGTCGACTCCCTGATGGCGTACATGGGCGAAGCCTACGACGCGGGCTACCTGGCCGCCTACGCGGAGGAGGAGGAGGAGAGGGGGAGGAGGGGGAGAGCCCCGAGCACGGCGCCTAGCCACATTGAGCGCGCGGACGCTTACTACTACGAGGAGGCTGAGACATCCGAGGGCGCCTTCTACGTCAGCGACGGCATTGACGAAGCCATCGCTCAGAATGACCCAGAGCACGCGCAGGCCTTGGTGACGCTGAAGGAGAGCCGCGCGCGCATGAACCAACTACGCACGGCCCGCGGTTTCTTTCGCGGGCGTATCAGCGGGTCGATCGAGCCAGAGTCTGACGGCAACAATGGCTCGAACACGGGCGCATCTCATGGCGGCGGTGCGAAGTCTTGGCGCGGCCGTAGTCCCAAGGGCCACATTGGCGCAGGCAAGTCCGCTGCGACTCGCTGCGACCACTGCGGCCGATCGGATCATGAGAGCTGGCGCTGCCCCTCCAAGGGCGCCAAGGGCGGCGGCTCCCGAGGCAAGCCCGCCTCGCCCTATGCGCGGACTCGGGCCGCCCAGGGGTGCCGCGGTGGAGGAGTCAAGCGTAGGCTGGGCATGTTGGCAATGGGCTTGATTTGTTTCTTTGGCCTGCAGCTTCCCATGAAGTGCGACGACGAGAGGGTATCAACGTTCTCAGACGTGGGCCAAGAACGCCGGATTAGCGAGGGGAGCGAGGCGGGGGAGAACCATGCCATGGTCGCTGAATGCGACTTCGACGCGCTTTCGATGCCATCTCAGGGCCTGGATCGCGTCTTGGCCCTGGTGGGTTCTGGCGCCACCATGAGCCTCGGTGGTCGACAGTGGCTCGAGTCGGTGGAGCGTGGCCCCCACCTCGTCGGCCTGGAGCCACACGAGGAGAACGCCTCGGAAGTGTTCAACAGTCTGGGCGGCGCCAAGCGACACGCAACGGAGAAGTGGACGTTCTTCGCGGGTGTCTTCCAGGCCCATGCGATCGCGAGCTTCTATCTCATCGAGGGTGATATGATCGGCTTGTTGAGTCGACGCAATCCTGACCAATGGGCCGCCAGCATGTATCTTCGCGACGACGAGACCTATGCAGGCGTCGAGGCATTCTCTCTGTAAGATCTGAAGCTTGATAAATTACGAGATTGACATGCATTTATCATCCTACTTGACTTCGACCTGCGCACCATCGATAACGACCTTGGCTTTGACGAATTCCGTATCCAGCCACGTTCTATTTCATTGATGATGTCAGCGTCTCCCCGCATGACGACACGCATAATGCGGAAGTGGAGCGCGATGACTGGATCGAGGCGGCGATCTCCACCAAGAAGATCGGCGCTCTGCCAGTGAAGGTCAAGAAGTCGACGGAGCGTTTGAGTTTGGGGCACGAGACGATTTCCTTGCCGCTGAATCGTGCCGATGATCAGGTCACGGCTTGGGAACTCTCTGCTGGCGAGGCAAACTTCACGAATATGGTGACTCGCGGAGGTGCTGTGGCAGGCGTTCCATAGGACATCCGTGCCAGCGTTGACCTCGCGGACCCGGCGGTCCAGGACGCCCTTCTCAATCTTGCGAAGTTCTACAAGACATGGTTGCTGACGTTTGCTTGCCCGCTTTTCCCTGGGTCTCCGTCGGCGCAGTTGTTTTCGGAGTCCCGAAAGAAAGACCTCGCGACGGAGCAGCAGAATCAAAGATGAGGTTCCTCACCTGGGTAGCGAAGATGCTGCGTTTGCAGGTGCTCGAGGGCCGACTGGCCCTCGGAGAGAATTCGTGGACCTCTGGGGCGCTGAGAGCGGCCCCGATCGCCAGGCTGGCCCAGGAGGGCACGCGCGAGATCGCTCGCAGCGACCCGTGCGCCTACGGCCTTGCGCCCTCGACAGGGGCCCCGCGCAGGTAGGCCGCGGGCTTCGTTGCCCCTCGAGGTTCGGCGCTGCGGCTGGCACTCGAACTGCGACGTCCAGGAGATCGCGAGCATCAGACCACCATCGGCAGCAATATTAGCTCGGCAGCTGGGGCGCGGGCGGGAGATATCTCGGAGCAGCCGCGCTCGCCGGAGCGACGTGGGAGTTGGCCCGTCGGCCGGCGGCGCCGCCGACGCTTGCGGCCCAGTTTCGCGACGGCTCGGCCCTTCAGTCGCGTCTTGTCCAGGCAGTTGCAGAAGAGCTCTTTCCGCGACTGGAGCTTGTTTAGGTCCAGAAGTTGTCCGCTGCATCGCCCGGTGATCAGCGCGATGTTCTGGGTCCAGATGTCGCCCGATGCATCGTCTGCGCGCGCGGCCAGCGGCGAGCTCTCTGGCTTCACGGGCCACTTTCGTCCAGAGATCGGCTTCCACGATAAGGGGTTCCCTTCTGTGGCGCACGAGCACGATATGATATTGGAGGTTCTGGTGGTTCGCGACGAGGAGGCAATCGAGGCCTTCCCAGCAGCGCAGCCCCTATTGCACTTCAGCGGTGCCCACCCCGCTCGCGCACGGTTCCGAGGACGGCCCTGAGGTGGAGATGGTCGCCCCCGATGTCCCGCCACAGGAACATCCGAGCAAACGACGGCGCGTGGTCGGAGAGCAGGCCCCACCGCCTGCATTATCAGCCCCCCCCTCCGGAGGCCGCAACCAAGTTGTTTCCGAGCTGGGCGCCTTGGGTCGCGACCCGCTCGGCGATGGGCAACCTCAGACGACATTCTGGTCCGCGTCCCGACGGCGTCGCGGCAGCGCAGTGGGGGGCTCTGCAGCTACTTCGCGCCCGTCTCTGTCATGCTCCGACCGACTACATGAAAAGATACCGGATGCGCTGTTCTGTGCCCCGCAAGATCGTGGACGCTCTCGACAAGTTGCAGTGTTCTGCATGCGCAGAAGTGCCCCGCCCATCATCGCATCGAGTTGGGGCCATCGTGCATTCCACCATTTTCAACGAGAACGCGTTCGTGGACGAATTCGAAGTTGTGTTGACGGATGACATCCGCGCCATGCTGGATCTCATCATCTGCGACGCGAGCAGCTTTCCACGCGGCGATGCCGACTCCAGCGGCGAGGAATGCAGGTGCCCGCGCGGTGCGCACAGCCTTTGGCAATGGCTGTTTCAGTTGGGCAGGCCCACCAGACAAGATCTTCTACGACAAGACGAAAGGGCACATCGGCGAACAGTTTGCCTCGCTTGGACAACAGCACGGCACGGTCATGGTTCCCATCCCCGCGGAGGCGTCTTACATGAAAGGACGCGTGGAGCGCGCAGTGGACTTCTGGAAGAGCTCGCTTGCGAAGGTGAACCAGCAGTGTCGGATCACAGTCGAGGGCGACCCCTATCTTTGGAGCTCCCGCATCACGTGGGCGTGCAACGCTCACTTGCGCAAGAATCTTTTCTCACCATATCAGTATGTTAGTGGTCGCAATCCTCGGGTTCCTACTTCCATCGCCGAGACGCTGGGGAATGGGTCTACTGACTTATCGGCACATTGGTGGGCGCTGCGAGATTCAGGAGCCCGCCGCGCTGAACGGGCGCGCGCTGCGGCCTCAAGGGCCTTCTTCGAGATCGACTCAGGCGAGGGGGCGCGGCGAGCCCTTGCCGCGTGCCGCGCGGAGCCGACCATGCAACAACCTGGGCATATTGTTGATTGGTGGCGTACTCAGGGTACGCGAACCATGTCCAAACGGCTACAATAGAGCTCGGGGTGGCGCGGCCCTGCAATCGCATTGAACATGGAAGGCCTCGCCAAGTGCCACATGTGGTATCGTGGCGTTCCGGTGCTGGTATCGCTGGAACAACTACGCATGGCATCCCATGACGAGCTCGGGTTTGCTGAACAAGGAGATCTGCTCGACTCGCTTCTTCGCGCGCCCAAGCGCTCTGTCTTTCAACGTGGTTTCGTCGATGGACGCGGGCCGGGACCTCCTGTTGAGGGGCGCGATGGGCCCAGGGCCAATCCACCAGATCCAGAGCATCCTCCCGGGGGAGCGCGGGCTCCAGGACCTGCTGACGCACCTCTGCAGCCTGAGGAAGGATCAGGGGCTCCCGGGCCTGGAGAAACCGACTCTGAGGAGGGCGACGTTTCGGACGAGATTTTCGAGGATGCTGCCCCCGGCGAGATTGACCCAGGCGGTGCGGAGGACATCTCAGACAAAGATTTCGGTGGAAAACCAGAAGAGCCTGCCACGGCCGTTCCTCTTGCCGGTGAAGAACGCCCCTCTGCTCCAGCTGTTGGTCAGCGGCGCG